GCAGCCTATCAAATATTCCAATGCAGATACCCTAGATTATTTTTCTTGTCGCTCGTATGTTCATAACCCCTGTGGGATAAACTGAGAAATAAATGTGCACAAAAGCAGGTTAACATTATTGAGCTGTGAAATACGGGGGGGGGGGGGGTTGACTTGACATCTTAATTATATAACTTCAGAGTTCATGCATCTGAAATACAAATGGCCTATACAGGTCACATAGGCTAGTCCCAGAGATCTAGTAAATGCTTCAGATCTTGTAAATGATCACTGTTGAACGTCCAAAGCTGAGAGAAGCATCTGATTTATCATATAGCTATGGTGAAAACATTAGAATTTATACATAGGCCAATAATACATTTGACCATTGGATGCCACTGTTACTGCTTAGGAGAGATAAAGTTGACAGAGAGAGCTGTCTTGGATGAAAAATGTTCTTCTTCAGCAAGAAGATTTGCAAATCATTTTCTGGGATTCATATTCATTTTACCTAGCACTGCTACACCTATCCCCCCCATAGGAGCAGTAGAAAAATGGGGGGGGGGATCAAAGGAGGTTGGAGAGCAATTAATCTAAGTAAAGGGAAAGAAAACACTGTGGATAATATGCACTTCATATCCAGATTAATCATTAATCTAACCCCCCAAACCTGTTAAATGATTTCAGTTAAGAATTTATTGACCATATTTTTGATGCATTTTTCTATTATGAGACCAATTACAGTGGTACCTCGGGTTCCATACACTTCAAGTTACATACTCTTCAGGTTACACACTCCACTAAGCCAGAAATAGTGCTTCAGGTTAAGAACTTTGCTGCAGGATAAGAACAGAAATCGGGCTCCGGCGGTGTGGCGGCAGCAGGAGGCCCCATTAGCTAAAGTGGTACTTCAGGTTAAGAACAGTTTCAGGTTAAGTACGGACCTCCAGAACGAATTAAGTACTTAACCCGTGGTACCACTGTATCACACAAGCATTTCAAAGTTGGCTTGATTTTAAAGGCAATGAATGGTTACATTTTGGTCTAAGACCTCTTGAAGAGAAGGCAGGGGTTTTTTGTGGATAGATGGAGATTCAAAAATATTGATTTTTTTTTTAATTTGGAGAAGAAAATGTTTCCTAGTCTAACAACAACAACAAAGTTGCCAAATAAAGGCAGTAATACTAGAAATTGAAAGTGGGTACATCCTACTAGTTTTCCCCTGCATGAGCATCCCACAATCTACAGCAGGGGGGCCAACTTGAAAAAAATATTGGGAGGAAGCAGGTAAGTCCCACCCCACATAATGCTGATCACATTATGCGATGCATGCACACTATTTGAATGGCAATGCCTATCAACCTTTTTTGGGGGGGTCTGACCCCCTCAGATATTTTATTAGGGAGGAAAAAGACTCCTTGGTGCCTAGAAGTCGGCTCCTATGATCTGCAGAGAGACTCATGAACTGAAATCAGAATGGCCTCAAAAGCCCATAGGCTTTGGTGGGGTCAGACAGTCCTCCTTCCCTCTTTCCCTGGAAAATGGATTGACTCTTCATTGTTGTTGCAGTTGCTACATCATTGGACTCAATTGCAAGTAGGTTGCCTGGAGATGTCCCATGGCACAATGGATTCTGCAGTCAAGGCTTGATGGAATAGCTCCTCTTACCTTATGACATGCTCAGCTTAACTACTGTTGGTGAATACACTGCATTTCACACACTCCTGTTCCATAAATATTCCTAAGCTCCATAAAGCTCCCTGAAACAGATGTTCTAAGTCCTATAAACTCCCAGTCCTTTTGAGAGGGGAAAAAAACAACCCATCCAATTGCAGTACAACTTACAGCTCTGTGTTAAGTATCATTTCCGTCATTTATAGCAAGCTTGATGTACCTCATTGTGTCCTTCATTTCAAGATGTTTGCCCCTAATTGTCAATCTTATAAGACCGCCGTGACTCATTTTAGAGTGCAATAGTAAAGAAGCATGATTGCACCTATATTTTACTAGACTGAAGCTTAGGGATATTTATAGAACATGGCTGTAAAAGAAGGTACATTTCCCAAAAATAGTACACCAAGGAAAGCCCGGGGATGGGGGGGAGAGAGAGATAGGCTGTTGTTGTTGTTTTATGTGCATCAAACTTAATGGGGGAATCAGGAGTGTTTACAAAGATCTGAGTTGTGTAAGTTGATATGTATGGGAGTAGGAGTCCAGCAACATTTGGAGAGTCCCTCACGCCTTAATTAGAAATACTGTAAATAGGGAACAAGGCATTTGCCTTTTCCATAACTGGCAAGAGACACTCTTGTAGCTACAGGATTACAGCAGGACATCAGCTCCAGCTAACAAAGTATCTTGACTTCAGTGACAAAGTGTAAAGGGGAAAGAGAGTTAGGCAGTTGTGTGAGGAGAGATTGAAGTATAATGGTATTTCTTTATTTCTTTAAAATATTACAAAAAACCCTATCATTCTTGCAAACTGCTTTGAGCTTTTTTCTACAATCAAGCAGTATATAAATTTTATGAAGTAAATAAATAAAATGTCACCTAAGATACATATCAAAGGCATTGGGTGCTAGGATGTAAAACTTGAAAATCCCTTAACTTAAATCCAATGGGTGATAAGATGGCAGAAACCCAGTTTTCAGGTCTATCCTAGCAGGACAGCCTTGAGGAACCACAGTAAACTGGAACCAGAAACCTAGATTAAACAAAGAAGGGGTTAATGGATGCAGAGTTTGAGAATGAAGGACATAGGTATTTGGATTTCCAGATTGCATGTTGACCCGCCTTGCTGGAATGAGGGCTGCAGATGGTAGACAGGGCTAGTGAGGAGTTAGTGGTCATAATGCATGTTGGCACCAATGAAGCAGGGAAACATTATGGAAGCAAAATTTAGCTTGCCAGGTAGGAGGTTGTAAGCCAAGGCCTTTCTCTGTAATGCTATCGGTTCTGTGCACAAGGCTGGCTAGATGGGGAAAGCTGAATGCATAGCACTGTGGTTAAGAAAGTGAAATACCTGGGGATTAACATGACAGCCAAAAATGGAAACTTATTTAAAGATAATTATGAAAAATGTTGGACCGAAGTGAAAAAAGATTTAGAAATCTGGTCAAATTTGAAGCTTTCACTGTTGGGTCGTATTGCTGTGATAAAAATGAATGTATTGCCTAGAATGCTGTTTTTGTTTCAAACATTGCAAATTGTGGACAAGATGGACTGTTTCAAGAAGTGGCAGAGAGATATTTCTAGATTTGTCTGGCAGGGCAAGAAGCCCAGAATAAAATTTAAGATATTAACTGATGCAAAGGAAAGGGGTGGATTTGCCCTGCCAGACTTTAAACTTTACTATGAATCAGCAGCTTTTTGCTGGTTGAAAGAATGGCTACTTCTTGAAAACACAGACATTTTGGACTTAGAAGGTTTTAACAATGTATTTGGATGGCATGCATATCTGTGGTATGACAAGGTCAAAGTGCATAAAGCATTTAAAAACCATATTGTCAGGAAAGCACTGTTTAATGTTTGGATAAGATACAAGGATTTGTTGGAAAACAAAACCCCAAGGTGGCTGTCACCGATGGAAGCGAAAGCTCTGAAAAGGCTCAATATGGAGGCCAATTGGCTGAAATATTGGGAAATTTTGGAACAAGATGGAGATAGACTGAAACTGCAGAGTTTTGAGAAACTAAATAAAGTGCGAGACTGGCTTCATTATTATCAGATAATGGAGGCATATAATTTGGACAAGAAAATTGGCTTCCAGGTGGAAAAATCAAAATTAGAAACAGAACTGTTAGAACCCAAAACTAAGAATTTGTCAAGAATGTATAACTTGCTGTTGAAATGGAATACTCAGGATGAAACGGTGAAATCTGCTATGATTAAATGGGCACAAGATGTTGGACATAATATTATGTTTGCTGACTGGGAACAGTTATGGACCACAGGTATGAAGTTTACGGCATGTAATGTCCTAAGAGAGAATATTATGAAAATGATATACAGGTGGTACATGACCCCAGTCAAGCTTGCAAAAATCTATCATTTGCCTGACAATAAATGCTGGAAATGTAAAGAAACTGAAGGTACATTCTTTCACCTTTGGTGGACGTGCCCAAGGATTAAGGCCTTCTGGGAAATGATATATAATGAACTGAAAAAGGTATTTAAACATACCTTCTTGAAGAAACCAGAGGCCTTTCTCCTAGGCATAGTCGGCCAATTGGTGCCAAAGAAGGACAGAACTTTTTTTATGTATGCCACAACAGCAGCAAGAATACTCATTGCAAAATATTGGAAGACACAAGATCTACCCAGTCTGGAAGAATGGCAGATGAAGGTGATAGACTATATGGAACTGGCAGAAATGACTGGCAGAATCCGAGACCAGGGAGAAGAGTCGGTGGAAGAAGATTGGAAGAAATTCAAAGATTATCTACAGAAATATTGTAAAATTAATGAATGTTAGAATGATGTTGGATAGTAATTAAGTGGTTTCCAGCTGTAATGCTTTAAGGGAATATGAAAAAGGGTTATAAATAGGTAAAAATTTAATATTATTACTTTTAAAGGATTTGCTGAACCAACAGATTGAAGTGGAATACAAAAAAGGGAGGTATGAGGAGGTCCGGGAAATAAGTCAAAGGAAAATAAGTAATGGAAAATCTGTGTGTTTTTAACTATTTTTATTTTGTATTTTTGTCATTTTTTTTTCATTTTTATTGTAATATTTTAAAAAATCTTAATAAATATCTTATAAAAAAAAACCACATAGTTGAGACCGTAGTTTCAAGAGGTGGAATCTGCATTTGTTAGGCAGTGGGAAATGTTTGGGAATAAGAGAAACCTGCTGGGTCAGGCCAATGGCCCATCTAGTCCAGCATACTGATCTCATACCCCTAGCCAGTTCATATTCCCGATAAATAATTTCTTCTGTCTCTAAGCTTAGTGTTATCTACACTGATGATTGGCAGTGGCTGTTCAGGGTTTCAGGCAGGAGACATTACCAACCCTACTTGGAGATACCAGGAATCAAACCAGGACCTTCTGCATGCTAGGAAGATGCACTGCCACTGAGCTATGAACTATGATTGCACCTTCAGACAATAAAGAAAACCATGCTATATAGCAACAATGTGCACTGACATCTGAGATCTGCAAGACAAAAGAAAAGAATAATATTGGTAATTGTGTTTCTTGTTTGTAGCAAAGAGAGGCAGCAAGCATACTGTGTAACTCTCCTTTTTCCTATCCTATAAACAGCAATTACATGGCCTGTGAACAGCTATGCCTAATGGCTGTAAAATAAATCTTGAACAACAAACCATTGAAGTCTTCTGTTCCCTTACCAAACTAAGAGGAACTGTTAATGGTTGCTTGTAATTCAAGGGAATGGCTTAATGTATGCCTGGGAGCTGGAAATATTGGCAAAAGATCTCAGTGTCATATGTTGAAATATAAATCAAGGGCAGGGACCTTAGCTCAGTAGAGCACACCGAGGGCCAGCGTGGTGTAGTGGAGTAAAGGTAGAGGTAAAGGGACCCCTGACCATTAGGTCCAGTCGTGACCGACTCTGGGGTTGTGGCGCTCATCTCACTTTAGTGGCCGAGGAGCCGGCATACAGCTTCTGGGTCATGTGGCCAGCATGACTAAGCCACTTCTGGCGAACCAGAGCAGCGCATGGAAACACTGTTTACCTTCTCGCCAGAGCAGTACCTATTTATCTACTTGCACCTTGACGTGCCCAACTGCTAGGTGGGCAGGAGCAGGGACCGAGCAACGGGAGCTCACCCCGTCGCAGGGATTCGAACCGCCGACCTTCTGATCGGCAAGTCCTAGGCTCTGTGGTTTAACCCACAGCGCCACCGGTGTCCCAACCAGGGTTCAAATCCTCACTTGGTGACCTTGGGCCGCTCACTGCCTCTCAGCCTAACCTACCTCACAGGGTTGTCATGGGGATTAAACAAGGAGGGCGAGAATCATGTATGCCACCTTGCGCTCATTGGAGAAACAGGCGGGATATGGATGCTAAAATAAACAAGTACAAGGTTCAGTCCCTGATAGGTCCATTTAAAAAATGTGTCAGCTCTTGACCTAATAGCTTTCAGAATGCAGATAAGGGATTTTGTGCCTATTCTCCACCCAGAGCTAAAATTATCAGGGTTGTGTAACAAATCAATCCCTCTTCTCAGAGAACTTTGGGAACTGTAGTTCTGGGAAGGACTACAGGAATAGGCATCTCCTAGCAACTCTCAGCACCCCAAGCAGGCTACAGTTCCCAGGAATCTTTCCAGGTAACCATGACTGCTTAAAGTGATATCATAGTGCTTTAAATGTAGAATTTGCACTGAGGATGACAGAAATATTTCTTCTAGAGATTTAAGAATGCTTTCTTTTAACTCTGCTTCCCCTCTTAACATTCCTCAAAATCTTATTATCCTAATGTATTTTTGGCCACAGGGAGAGGGACATTCTCTAGCTTTCCTCAGTTCCACATTTGCTTGATCCAAAATTTCCCCTCTGTCATCACATGAGCTTTCTGATTTATAGTTTATTTTCACGTAGCCCTCTCAAGAGATCCCTTAATAAGATGGTAATAAATTCAGAGGCCCTCGAATGGTGATTGAGGTTCATTGCAGATTTCAAGAGATAGCTGGTATAGAGAGAAGATGACTGTGCTTTTCTTATTTACAATTGTACAGAAGCAGCGACAACTGGCAGCTAGTCAAAATTAATTTCATAATCCTGTTCTTATGGGACCCAGGAGACCTAATGAAAAAGAAATGAATTGCAAATCAAATGTAAATAAATGTTTCTAATGAGTTGGTAAATTGCTTGCTTTTCTCTCGGATATCAGACCACCAGCACTTTGTCTTTTAAGAACTCACTGGGCTGATGTTGTCGAAAGAACCCAATATTAACACACAGTCCGGTTATTACTAATCTTTCCTCTTCTGCACTTCTAATATCTAGTCATAATCAGAGTCTATTTTCATTTTCTTGTTTTATTATTGAAGAAGGTCTCCACTCAGGGCTGCTCTAAATTTCCATAAAAAATTAATGAATCTAGAGTTTATATTAAAGTCTTCACAAGACGACAAGTTATGATCAGTGCGTTTCCTTGGATGAGGATTGCTACAGAAGCTCAAATTTATTAATGCTAGCAGGAGGTCTTGGTGTCCTGCTGCTTCATTAATCAGTTTCTCTTCAGATGTACACTAGGTTTTAATTTTAAAAATGGAGGATTTCCTCTGTGCTCATTCCATCAGCCAGATGCCTACTAACATGGCAAGCACCATATATAATGATCAGGGTGAATTCAGCAAATCTAAAATGAGCAAGGGATAGAAATAGAGTAAGGGCAGGTTTCTCACAATGCACTTGGCCTATTCAATGGATCCACAATGTGACAAAACTTGCAGCTTACAAACTGACTGCCTATAGATGTAGACTTTGGATAAATATGACAATATTTGAAATGAGCTCATACAGAATGTAGTAGGAAATTAACATCTATGTACGTATTAAGATAATAACACTATATCAATTCTACGTAAGAATGTATGGGAGAATATTACATTGCATTTTTGTATACTGTTTCTCTCTATCTCTCTTTTATATGTATCTTTGTTCTTTTTGCTGCTCACTTCCCCCCTCCCCCCTTTGTATCACTTTATTTTTTTATAATTGTAATTCATTCAATAAAAACATTAATATTTAAAAAAATGCATTCTTGGTTTCTTTCTCAGAACCAGTGAGTAGTAATAATCCTCACAGGCTCTCCCCAGATTAGTTTGGGATTTTTATATATTTTTCCCAAAAGAAATTGGAAAAATAGGAACTGCCCTGAGACCTGCAGGTGTAGGGGGTATACCAATTTTAATAATAATAATAATAATAATAATAATAACAATAATAATAATAATAATAATAATAATAATAATAATAATAATAATATGCTGAGCCAGTCAGATTGACTTGGGGAAATTCCCCTATTCAAGAAGAGTCCTGCTGGGTCAGACCAAAGGCCTTTTTTGTCCATCCTTCTGTTTTCACAAGTGACCAACCAGATGCCTCTGCAGTTTCCACTGCCAATGCCGTCCCCACCACCTTCCAAAATAGTTTCCCCTTCCCTTCCCTTCCCTTCCCTTCCCTTGACCTGCCCCTCTTGGCTCTTGGCATTTGATCCAACCACAGAGAGGAAATTGGGGGGAGCTGGGACACTTGCTTCCCATTCTTCTAAGCAGGTTCATTTCTGAACCCCGCTTAGAAGAATTCCTGCCACATCCCTTACTGCTGAAGTCACAGTGACAAGGACTGCTTACTGCCAGCTTGCCCACAGCTGCAGTCAATGGCATGAGAGCGATGGGGTGAGGTTTGGAGAGAGGACCAGAGAGAAAACTTCTTCCCTCTGGACCATTACCTGCCAACATAGCCACTTACACTCAGGACTCAGTTACAATGAAGGGATTGTTCCATGGCAAAGCATGTGTGTTGCATGCATGCCTGATGACCCAGACTCATTCATCCTTTCCAGATGGATAGGATGGTGGAAAGCTGACCAATGGAAGAGAAGCTTGAGCAAGCTATCACAGTCTCTAGGGATGATAGCAGTGGCACTAGAAGCAGTCTTATCTTCCTAGATTAGCTTCACTGGGGCAGTTATTCCCTGTTGATTCCCTGCCACTGTTAGAAATAAATTTTACACCCAAGCGCTGAAATCACATCAATATTTTATGGTGTGAATTAACTCCTAAATTGAATCTGAATGCTGTCTATCAACATTCATGAGAAAGACGTTTTTGAATCTTGTTAAATATTGGCAACCCCTGTACGAAAAGGAAGTTTTCATTCTCCCTATAAAAAGTGAACATTCTGATTCACAAGGCGTTCGCTACAACCTTGTTAAAAGTTTGCTGAGGTGCCAGGAGAATTTATAATCCTGTAATGATATTAAAATTCAATTATCACTCAGATGTATTTTTAGTTTAATTTAAAATAAAAAACACACGTTACAGAGGTTACAACACAGATATAATTGAAATAGTTCTGAAATCCTCGGTGCTTCAAGAAAAGAAGTGCGTCACGAGACGCTGCTTTAGATCCTCATGGGAGAGCAACTGTGTGTCTGCAAAAAACATCACTGCATTTGCAGGGAAATGTATGAGAACTACTGTGTTTATTTTTCATTTACACCATGATTCAGGGAGCAAATTCTTCCCATTATATTTTGCTTTTTGTAGTCTAGAAGGGCCTAAAATAGGATGGATTCCATCAGCCTTTAGTTAAGCTGAACAAATCAGGGTACCCCATTAAAGGGGTCCAGCGGGAGGTGTTTGCTTCCATCCTGACACCCAGACAGCTGTTGATGGGCCAGGATGCATCCCCAAATGATGATATTAGATGAAGGCCTGGCCAGGATGCAGGCCGGTCTTCCTGTTATATCCTCTCGGCTTTACGAGGCCAATGACCCTCACCTGAGCTTACTCCAGCTGAGGTATCACACACTTACTTCCCAAGCTACCAAGCACCACCTGGGCTTTTTCACTATTTAGGTCAACTTTACAAAGTTTCATTTCCATTCCTCTCACCAAAACATTTTTTGGCAGGTCTGCTATAATTCTGATTCTGGAGCAAAGCACACAAGCCCCCACCTAAATCCAGCCCCGATCTCCCCACATACTCTTTCCCCGCCTTCCTGTTTGTGGTCGTACTTCTTCTAGGCCTGCAATGAGAAGACTTACAAATACAGCATAAACAAATCAGGATGGATGCTGATTGTTGTAAAAGCTGAGGTGCAGGTCATTTTCCAGCTCTCACTTTCTGTGGAAAAATCCAGCAGAAATGCTTCCATTTTACAGTTTGGTTGCAAATGTATATATTTATTTGTGCACAATTATGTCTAATTGCACCGAGAAGAGAGAAAATGGAGGCATGTGATGACTGCATCACAATAACAGGCATTTGCTTACTATGCAGAGCTACTCAGGGTTCTTTTCTAAGTGGCACACTATATTTTGCTTGATCATTTTTATTGGAGTTGAACACTGGCTTTAGCCTTGTAGCCAGAAATTATGTTCAGGA